GGGTTTGCATTTCTCCCACAGTTTCTATGCATGCTAGAAAGACCAGGAGACTAGAAAAAAAACCCCTAACTATGTCTAAGTCATTTCAGATTATATTTGTTACCTTTTTAACTATGGAAGTTTATGTACTGTTTTTTCTCCTTTATACAGATCAATTGTAGTAAGGTTATCAAAGGACTAGCTATGATTTTTAATGGAATATATTGTATATTCCATGTAGCTCAGCATGGTGAATGTTTATCTCTGATCTTCAATACTTTTCTTTCTCATCCACCTAAGCAGAAAAAATACTGGATTTCTGCCCTCTGTTTGGGACATTGGAGAAAAAGGCTCAGTGCACAGGATTGCATCATCACTAGGAAAAGGCCTGAGGCTTTGCATTGATGTAACAGTGCTGGCCTCAGGACTTGCCTGGATTTGTCTTGGCTTGTGCTTTTTGTAGTTTTAGCAGTTGTGTAGCTGTCAGATGACTATTGCCTAAACATGTTTTAGCTTTAGATTAGCTGTATGAAACTGCAGTGTAGCACACACCGTTAAGGAACAAACAGTGATCTCACACACAGATTATTCTGTGTAGAGTGAACTACCTATGGGCCTTGAATAAAAGTGCAAACACAAGCATGGCTGGGCAACAGAAGTCCAGGACCACAATCACGCCCACTATGGGGGGTGTAGCCTCATGGAAACAGATAACACTGAGAACAGAAACCCAAGAATAAACTAGTGCATTTTGTCTACACTTTTAATACTGTAATTAGACTAACAACAATTTTTTGTGTCCGTGTATAATGTGTGTACCAGTTCTGTCCATAACTAAGTTGTTTGTCCCTCAATGTTTATTGAAAGCATACACGGTTAACTGAACAATATAAAAACACACAGTTTCTTGAAGAATGCTCCAAAATAATCTGAAAAGACTGAATCTGAATCAGAGTCTGTACAGGTCAAATTTGAACAATATTTCTAAAAGAAATAAAATGCACTACAGCAAAGGAAACTATGTACTCCCTTCCTGGAGAGCAAACCCTTTGGCTTGTCCATTTGAGGCAGAAAAATACAGATGTAGATATAGATATAACCTAAATCAAGATTAAAGATGTGGGGTACAGGCTGTTCAACTTTGTCTAAGCTCAGATTCCAGATGTATCACCCAGAATATGATAATGGAAAGTATCTGTACACAACACTTAATTCCAGAAGCACATTCTCCACAAGGGAAATATGCAATGGAAAAAACAGAGGTAGAAAGAACAGGAAAAAAAATTCTTTTTATACAGGAGTTACTTGATAAATAGCAACAATTGTGTTTACCTGCTTTCGATAACTGTTTAGAAATCCCAAGACATTACACTGCAACACTACTAGGAAAACAGGATGAATGTTGGTATATTATATTATTATCTCATAAAAATAATTATTCAAGGCTGAAACAAAGAATTAAAAAATATTTAATCTCTCTTCTGTGCTAAGAGTCTCATAAACTCATTATGCTTCCTTCCTGAGTATGGAAAAAAGGGTAATTCTATTCAGTTCAGGATAAAGTGGATGAATTAAATAACCCTTGAGCTGATTCTTTTCCTATTCCTTCCTGTCCACATGTTTAAACAGAGACCAGTTCGAGATCTTCCTCTCCAGTTTCCACATGTTCCACTGGAAGCTTTACCAGTGCTCTTCCAGTGATGATTTCATTTCACAGTGCTCAGTGACTGAAAGCAAACAGGGCTCTGTAATCCTTCTGTCAAAAGACCTGGCTGAGTTTAGGGAAGATATTTCAAACAGAAGTGAGGATTCTGATTCAACAGATTCTAAGTTCACCTTTTTAAAAGGTGCTGTTTCACACATTGCAGAGCTCTGCCCAGGCAGGTATAACTGGAGCAAGGCTGCCCCAGGTTCACCGTTGCTGCTAGGCAACAAATATCACAACTTGTATCTATAATTTTAGACTATGATTCTTACTTAGGCAGATTACAGGCTTGCAGAGAAGTGTCTGAAACCAATAATGGGTATTCTGAAGTGTGATTATTATTTAAATGCTAATGACACTTTATGATGCATAAACCTTACTGTAAAATGAAAGCTGTCAAGTATTGGTCAAGTTTCTAGTATCTGCCTACTTTATAAGCACAAAACTTGTATGTCATTAGTTTCGTTTAACTGAAAATTCTGCTACTTGCATACTGATTGCAGAATTATATAGTTTGGAAAACATTACTTTCTAAATAATAGAAATATTAAGTGAGTACACAGCAGCACAGTCTAATAAATATAAGCATTTAATAGAATATAAAGTCAAATGTAAAGACATTTCAGTTTGTGATGAATCACTTTATCTGTGCACAGTGAATATATACTCATGTAAATTATATTTCAGAAAAGTTATATAAAGATGTATCAGATCACTACTTGTTTATATGGACAGTTTCAGGATATTATATTCAAACCTCCTAGATCACTTTCAGCAACTCTAAATAATTTTGCTCCTTAGAGTATTTTGAAATCTCAGTCTCTTCTGGCCACTGTTTTAACAGTGTCATTTTTTTACTTTTTCCCTGCCTGCTTTCAATCATGCCAGAAGGCATGGTTTGAAATAGCCTTTTCAAGTTGCCCCATGCACATTCATTTTATCTTGTCATGTAATCTCTGAAGCCAGTAATATAAAATTGCTCCTAGCCTGATCAACACTACTTTTAGCCATTTACCTTGACTGATAAATGGCTCTCATTCAAACATTTTTTTGGGCATTTCTTCTTCCTTTACCTGTAATCATGTGTTTAGTCTGTTACTTGCACTTAAAGTTCTCTGAATCAAGCACTGACTTTATTCAGCACATATCAACAGTTTGTTTACAGAGTACAAAAATGCAGATAAATACCAATAATTCCATATTTTGCTGTGTTTTGTTTTGCAATTTTATGTTACAGTATTACTACAGTGCCAGTCACTTTTCTACTATCTTTTCTTTTTCAAGCAACAGTCTAAATTTGTAACTTTCTGGAAGATAAGCATAGACATGGTAGTCATAGAAGGTGAAAATTTGGCCATCTTGAGTCTTATTCCTACTGGATTTCTAGGATTAAAAGGGAAGTGAAAAAAAAACAACATAGCCCTTTTTTTGAAACAACCTGGAAGATACACAGGGTGAGAAAATCTGACTCACATTATGCTGTTTAGGACTTAGTAAGAATGCTCTCCAAACCAGGTTACCCGCATTTGACTTGCTATGGTACAGTATGACCCATGGCAGCCAGGTAGAGCTGAGAGAATCCATCTCCTCTGTGCTACAATATACTAGAAGTCAGATAAAGGGCAGCATAAAAGCACAGATTTCTAATAAGCTCCATATAGAAGCTCACAAACTAGATTTCAAAACAAACTTTTATCAGCAATGTGCTGGAGAAAAAAAAAAAAAGTTAACCACAGAATCATAGAATAGTTTGGGTTGGAAGGGACCTTTAAAGGCCATCTAGTCCAATACCCCAGCAATGAGCTGGAACATCTTGAAGATCAGGTTGCTCAACAGTGACACGAAATCTGTGTCTCACAGAGGAGGTGCCATATCACTCATAACAAAACTCTACAGAACTGGCACTTGTACACTGAAAGTGACTCTGACTCCAACATGAAAGAAGAGAGTTTTGTGCATCGTTAGTGCCCCAAATGTACATACCGACATTTCCACAAAACTGTCTAGCTCACCAATTTCTGCTCTCAGAGACACAAATATGAGCAAGCAATACCATAGCCTTGAGTGAAATCACACCCCTGAACCACATTTCCAAAGTTCCAAACAGAAATTTCCTATATATTTATTGAATTTATTTTTATTTAAATGAAAACATTTTCTATAAACAATAGTAGATTGTGTCTGTCTTTCTCTTGCATGTTACCAGGCTACTGTATCAATCTATTTCTGTTCACTTTATGATACAAAGCCTATTCAGTTATTCTGCTTCTTGTTCAATTTGCTACACTTGGTTCATTCTCAAAATCTGATCTCAAGTGAATGGGATCTTCAGAAGAATGCCATTTTATGCACTAGTTTAATTACTTTTCACTGTAATTTCTGAATGATTCATATTTTCTCACACCAGACACTTCAATTCTGCAGGAAGAAATCCCATTTAAAATTTTTATTTACATAGATAAGTATAGGAAAAATTGATATTCACAGTTCTCAAGAGGAAAAAAACTAAGGGAAAGCAATATTGTTTGAAAAACTGTATACAGATTCACCATGCAGTTTCAAAACCTGAGAAAAAACTTACTTCAGAAAATTACTTCAGATATAAAACACTGGAGAAGAGCAAGATTGAGATCTCCTGCCAAAAAAGTGAGTACATTGTAATACAAGCAGTAGAAATTCTAATAGTCGAACTGTCAAATTTGAGCAATAAGGAACATTTTATTTAGGAACTGTTCCTCACAACCAGATTTAATCAAGCCTCCTCTCTATTTGCATAATTTCTTCAAAGAACTAGGGATAATGCTTAGCCATTTTCAATCTTTTTTCCTACATTAAGAGTATGTCTCTGTAAAGTGCTAAATAAGAAATTTTGTCTTCAAGAAAGCATAAAAACTCTTTGAAAGCTTGGCCTTAGTGGAAAAATTAGAGGCTTTCTTCTGAGCCAATGGGAATATCCTTCCTTTCATGAACTGTGTTTAGTGGGTGGAATCCAAATCCCTAGCCAAAAGCTGTAATAGTGCATAAAACTGTGCTGCTTTGGAAAATTTCTCCCGCTTTTTCTGTGACATGTTACTTTGGGCAGGAATGGCTGGCCATTCTGTTGTGCCTCCTTGCGTCCCCCACCTGACTTCTTTGCACATTCTGATGCAAACCTGCAAAAGAAAGACCAGCATCCCCACGCAACACCTCTTTCCAGTTGTCCTGGTGCCTTGATAACTTTCTGTTGAAGTTCATGTGTTGAGGACAGAGGATGTTACAAGATCAAACTCAAAACAGGCTGAAAGACAGACAGGATGAAAAGGCTAAGAGGACTTACTGGTACGTGGTGGGACTGACATTGATGCGGCGTGGGTGACTTCCTGACTCGAACTTGCTTGCAAGGGTGACATTGTTCCCAAATAGACAATAGCGTGGCATTCTTACCCCAACGACGCCGGCCAGCACTGAACCTGAGTGAATGCCTATCCTCATCTGGAAAAAACAGGAGATCCATGTCAGTCTTTTTGTCCTGTGCTGCCCACAGTAATGTCATTAGCACTTACCTATAAGCCAGTCACAACAATGCTTTAATATTAATAATAAACCAAAGAAAGAGTGAAGTGGAAGATAACAGACTCTTCTATTCCTCTACCTTAAATCAGATGCAGTTACAAGAAAAAAGAAAAAAAACCGTAGGTATCCTTTTACTAAAACTATTTTCTTCTTCTGTGCACATTTGCTGGAGACCACGGCAGTCAAAACAGACATAATGAACAGGATGGGATCATTGTGAGTTACTGCAATATCAGACACCTAATTACACAAATAAATACATTACTGAGGGTTATTTTCACCACTGCTTCTAACACAGGCTTTAAAGTAAGACCCACTTTTCCTTAAACTGGCAGAAATAGTAGTAAAGTGGAGTAAACTAATAAGGTACTTATATCTTCATATTTTTCTTCCAAACTCTTCAAGGTCTAAGGTCTTTCTCACTTTTTCAGATAGACAGATATCACAATGGTGAGAACGCTGAAGATTGAGGCGCCAATGATTTTTAAAGTAATTGTATCCTCCTCAAAATAAGGAGGAATTAGTCCCCAGCAAGTTAAAAACCCCTATGTAGTTATTCTAGCAGTCATCCCCTGCAACTGTCCAAGATGTGGCAATTACATTTATCTGTAAAGTTCAGTCACCATCCAAGTTTCTTTCAGAGTGAATAAACAGAGATTTATTCTGCATACATTCTAGCTACCAGTTGTGTTTGCTAAGAAAATATTTTTTACAGATAGAAGGGTCTTTTTCTCTTGTTAACTTTATAATATTAAGAAAATGAAAAGAAGATATTTCTATCTTCTGAGGATACTCTTGCTCACAGCAACTGGATTTCTGTAAAACATATCGTGTGAAGAAAGTAAATAAAAGCTATTAAAACAGAGAATCTGATGGAGAATGAATTAGTGACTCACCTAATACTATACTCAATATGGTCCTTTGACTTACTTAAATCACAGTTATTCCACTGTGCTTTTTTCTGTCAATCTCTATTTTTAATAACAAAATACATACTTACTCAAATACAAATAAAAAAATATTTGTTACCTCTTTTTTTATGGAAGCAAAATGCCAGCACTTTATAACATTGGTGTCCATGAAGTTCTGTGAACATGTAGGACCCCACATTATTTCACTGACTATGTTTCTTCCCACTGGCCAAGACTTACCATGCAGCTAAGTACTTTTAATTTTGTTCCTCTATGTCACAGACAATGGGTATACAATTATATCTGCTATGCAGTAAGTTAATAAAATCTCTATACACTAAGTCCATGCATAAACTAAGAACATGTTCTGCATTCAACATGATGCCACTTACAACATTCTCACAGGCAACATAAAACTGTCATTCTTCACAATAATGTTGTTGATTACAGATTAGGTTGTTCAGTGGGGTTTTTTTTCCTTCCTTTCTTTCTTTCTTTCAAACCTTTACTATGGTTTGGAAGGCAGCTACTAAAATTCTTCAAATATTCTATTCCACTGGGAAGAATCCAGAAGCCAAACACAATCCAGACTTGGCTTGGCTTTTAAAATCTTCGCTATCTCATCACACATATATTATTTTGGTCATATTTTGGGGCATGAAGATTTCCTGCTTTTGCTACAACTTATATTTAAACTCTACTGTTCATCATCAGTGAAAAGAAGTGCTCACAAAGTGAGCAAACAGCCCTTCTCAATATAGGTGAGGTTAGTACTTGCCCTCAGAGGAAGATTATGAGCAGAAAGTCTTGCTCACACAAGTATGCTGTCAGCTTTCAATAAATAATAAAGAACCTCTTTACAATGTATTTTTCCTGTGAGATGGGAGACAGATCAGTTATTTTGCTCAGAATTTTAAGAACAGAGCTAATGATACCTATTTGTTCCACTCCTACTCTGCACATTTATTTAATAATCACAAATACCCCACTTGTTGTGACTTCTAGGGCACATTTAAACACATGGGAAGGCCAGATTAAACTGTAAGAAAAAGTACTACATTTGTTTTAGTATAAATTGGAGTGGAAAGAAAATTTGGATAGCAAAACCTACTAAAAATAAAATTTACTTTTGCAGTATATGCAGTGAAAGCTAAAGTTGTTGTTTTTTCTACTCTCATTCTCGAAGTGTTTCCTTTTACATGGCCACATAGTTTTTTATCGTTCAGTGCTTCAGTGACAGAGGACTTCCAAGGGATTTCCAACTCCATCAGGATTTTTGAAATTCTCATTAGCAAAAAAAAAACTCTCTCTTGAAGAACCCAAACCCCACTCACAGTAAATGTTTTCAAGATCTTTTCTCATGATTGTCTAAAAAAGACACTGGGGAAATTAATGGCCTTTGTGGTTATGGCTTTCCTACTCTGCAAGTGCCAAGGAAACCAGATATTACACAATCAGACTTGCTGAAAAAAGTACAGACTGAAACATCACTCAATATAAAACATTTTCCTTTGCAAAGTTAAGTGAATGAAGCTACAGCTATGCCAGCTTCAATGGAAGAACTGTGTTGGAGAACAAAAATACATGGACATTCAAACTTTCACTCAGGAGTACACAGGTCGGATCTTCTGTGAACTGCTTGAATTTCAGAAGAGATGAGAAAAAAAAGAAAGGAGACAACTTTTTTATTTACCATGGCATGTATCTAAAGAGATTTTAAAAAGTCTTGGTTTGGCTGAGTACATAACATTTTGTCTTCTGTAGTATTTTAAAAGATCTTTTTCAAAGATACTCCTACAATAAAAAAAGGTAGATATTCTCACAAACACAGATTAAACTACATTAAACTGATGAGAGTGTCAGAACCTCACGTTTTCATTGGGTGAAAGAAAGTTCATGCAAATTTTCTCATTAAACCATAGAGAAAACTGCCTGATACAAGACAAAATCACACCAAGAATGGTTTACAATAAAACTCCACTTCTGCCTCATTATATGGTTCTCTATAAGAAAAGAGCCTGCAACACTGATGCTATTGCTGTGAATTGTTCCTTAGTGTGCTTTCTTATACTGAGAATAACCAATTATATTGGTCATATATTACTTTCTAGTGAAATATATTTTCATAAGATTTTCTTTTCTAGATTTGACTTCATTTGCAGATACGTTGTTCTGGCTTTTTCCTCACTGAGTTGATAAGTGTTGGGTTAACAGTTTATGGCTCTTTTTTACAAAACAAAATGTGTGATCAAACTACTGACAAGAAGACTCTTATTGGGGCACATCAACCTTTCACATTACCTTTGTGGGAAAAGAAAACCTGCCTAGAGTACATAACTTAGAACAATAATAACAGTTATATGTGTATAGTTATAGTTTCCAAGCTATATTGTACATGCAGCCCTTGTCAGTGCTTTCCCAGAACAGTTACCATTAAAGACCATATAAAGCATAAATTAGGTCACAACGGTAGGATGCATTATTTGTCTATAATAACTTCATTCCTTTTAATGTATGTGTAGTAGACATTATATGTAAACTGTCTTAAATAAAGTATTTTTAATAAAATAAGATTCATGCTCTTCGTCTGTACCAACTGCTCCTTTATATGTCCTTAATTATTTGGCTAATGATAAAAGGGCAGCATGTAACTGAAACTGAAAGAGGCATCACGCATACAAATGGAAATACAGCTCTTTGGAAACTATTTCAAGGGTTGAACTTCATGATCTCAGAGGTCCTTTCCAACCCATCTGATTCTATGATTCTATGATCACAGAAAGAAGACAACCATGAATAAAAACAACTGTAAATAACAATCCCCCAGCCATTAAGGAAGAGTGAAGAGACAAGGCAAAAGACATTTCTAGAACACAATACTGGAAGGCACAATGGTGAATGAAACATGAACAGGTGTGAAAAAGACCAAGAGACGTGTGAGAAATCTTTTAAATAAAGAGGAACAGCTTGAACTGGGTGCTTTGGAAAGATTTAGAATGAAAAATGAGAAAAAAGGATTAACAAATCTGACCTTTGCAAGAGCTGTGGTAATAGTGAGGTGGAGAAAAGGTGATGTGTCAGAGTTGTAAAATAGTAGAGTGCATTGATCAGCATAGGACGGGATGAAATACAGAGCTATGTGGAAAGCAAAAGAAGCTACCATAACTTGTAAGGAAGAAGTAGCAGTATTTGGATATTGCTTACAGGATAAGGCACAGAGAGCAGAAATGGCTAATTCCTGAGTGACAGGAAGGATAGTGGTTTTGTTTAAAAGTGATAAAGAACCACAGAATCAGAGAATCTGCTGAGTTGGAAGGGACCTACAAGGATCACTGAGTGCAACCCTTAGCCCTGCACAGAACTATCCCCAAGAGTCACACCATGTGCTTGAGGGTATCATCCAAACACTCCTTGAACTCTGTTAGGTTTAGTGCTGTGGCCACTTCCCTGGGGAGCCTGAAAGATAAGGAGCACTAAAACTACGGTCATGATCTAATAGGGAGATGGGCCAGAAGTGGTATCAGTGAGAACTGATAGTCCAGACTGGACTGTGAGAGAAAAGTCAAGAACAAACAGGAACAGAGATGAACAAAACAAAAATATTTGTTCTTTTTCTGATCTGAACATTCTGTTACTGTGTTTTTCTGATGTACTTAATCTTAGAAGAGTTGTATGTTACCCCTTTACACCTCCTCATTGCCAAAGCATGACTTTCCTCTTTCATATCTGAAAGAGCTAGGTTTTTTGTTTTGTTAAGTTTTGCTTCATTTTTATCTGATATGCCATTTCAATTACTTTCAATAGCCTGAACGCCTCCTTAGGCACCATAGTGAAAACTGCATTCTTCCATCACTATTCCAATTGAGATGAGAGTAAATGCAACACTGAAAATTCACAGTCCATATACACTCACTTTATGGTGAAGAGGTAAAAATATTTTAATAGCCATAAAGGAAGCATGACTGAAGTAAATTTCCTAATTGCTTATTTATTTCTTAATAGATTTTT